CTCCATAGATTGGTGGTGTTTAAAAGATGTTATGGAAGAGGAACACATTTTACTGGGAAATACTCAGGCTGATTTGAAAGTGGACTTTAAAAAGGCTACAAGAATTATATGGAAAAAGATATTAGACAAATAAAAGAATCCAGCGAATGCCCTAATAATTAAAAGAGTGATACAAACAACAAATGAAACAGGTGACCTGGATCTCTCTCTCTGACCTGGATCACAGTTTTTGTCTAGTTGTTTGCATAACTTAGCTACAGGATAGCAGCTACTTCACTTAAATTGATCTGAAAGAAGCTATATGGGAACTGGGTGGGAGACAATCAGGAAATCCATGCTTATAAACTAGAATCAGAATTCCAGAAGAAGGCAGTTGCAAAGCACTGATGTCAAGAAAACTTCATGGATGTGTCCATCAAGCTTATCAAAAATAGATTTTGATCCAAAAGAGGTTTTATTGTGGATATTCTAGAAATACTGTATTTGCTGAAATGCAAAATATAAAAAGTCTTGTTTGGAAAATTCTTAGAGTATTCCTATTAAAAGGGGTTGGCAGGAAAGAGTTGTATTCCTTTTCAAACAAGAGAATGGAATTGGCATTCTATGTCAAAATGGATAGCACACTCTCTCTCTCTCTCCCTCCCTCCCTCCTTCTCTCTCTCTTTTCCTCCCTCCCCCTTCTCCCTCTCTCTCCCTCCTTTTCTCTCCCCCTCTCTCCCTTCCTCTCTCTCTTTCCCTCCCTCCCTCCTTCTCTGACTCTCCCTCCCTCCTTCCTCCCCTCTCTCTCTCCCTCCCTCTCCTGTTTCCCTCTCTCTCCCTTTCCTCCCTCCCTCCCTCCCTTTCCCTCCGTCCCTCCTTCTCCCATTCTCTCCTTCTCCCCCCCACCCGCACTCTCCCTCCTCCTCTGCACCTGTTACTCACTGCTGGTACTCCTGTACACACTTCTGCAGAACAAGGGCACAGCTCTAAATAATTATGTCAGCGGAATGACAAGTGCAGGAACAGAGATGAATAATTACAAAGCCGAGACATAATTAAGCAACTTTGACTGTCGTATTCTTGAGCTGTCATTCTGATGTGAAGCGCTGTCAGACACAGCAACGTATTTCACATCGGACAGGCCTCTCACGCTTTGATCAAGCCTTATGCCAGAAAAATGAGCTTGTGGTACGGTCATTAAATGAAGCTCCCTTGTTTGGCACAATGCCCCTTGCCTAGCAAGGCTCCCAGGCTCTCTCTTTTATTTTTATTTTAAATCAAGCATCAGACGGATGTTCAATATTTTGACATTTCTAAATATAAACATTGCTAGGTAATGAAGTTCAACTCATTTCACACAGCAAGAGAATGGCTGGCATTGCTAAGTTAAGCTGTTTTCTAACGAACTGGGCCATTTCTTCCCCCATTATGACAATCCCATCATAAACAGACTCGAAGCCACAAAAAGATGAAATGAAACGAAGAAAAACCAAGCTGCGTTCTGCTAAGAAAACATAAAAGAATCAAAAAAAAAAAAAATCTGAGGAAGGCAGGGAGTTAGGCAAAATTAAATATTTATCATTTCCTCAAATGTTTGGGTGTTTGCTCGTTACTTCTACATAAAAGTAAACATAAGCTACTTGGAGGAAAATATTCTGCCTTGTGTCTCGTTCTCCCTATTGCATTTTGAGAGGCTAAGGTACTCTCTCTAGATCCCGATGTCAAGAGCGAAAGGAAAGCAGTTCTTGTGGAGAAACCCTACTCTTATGTTGGCACTTCCGCCCCACCGCCCCTTCTGAACATGTTCTTGGATGACAATTTAGCACCATAAAATTAGACTTAAATTTAGACATGTCGTGAAAATAGACTAAAGGCAGCGCGGAGTTCAAAAAAGGCACAGTTCTGTGTCAAGCCAATTAATGTTTTCAAGAATATTTCATTTTCTCTCTGATAATTATTTGTCTGCCAAACCTCACAAATTCCTCTCAACGCCCACATTTCTATACATGTAGATTTGAAATTAATACAAATCTAATGAGGAACAATACGGGAAAACAACACCAACCAATCAATGGTTATTGGGGTTATTAGACCAGCATAAAATAATAACATTTTTTTAAAAATCGTAAAGACATGTTCCACAGTGAAGTCGATTAAGGTGCAAAAATATGGCCAGGGAGAAACAGATTGTACTGATAGTATTGAAATCCTGCTGGCAGCACAACAAATATGGATAATTTGTAACTGAAAATACTTGAGGTTGCATCAAACATTTCTACAAAGCATGATCAAGTGATGGTTTCTGTAGAGCTTCCCAAAGTCTACTTTGCTATGAATTTTTTTATAGTCATGCCCACTCTAAGATGAGATCAGCTTGTGGAGACCTGGAGAAATTAATTATCATGATCCATTTGTCTCACAGTGTACAAATCCAGGAATAAAATCTTGCATTTTCTTGAGAAAATCTTCTTTTAGATGACAACTGAAGAGTATTCTGTTAACTCGGGCATTTATAGGATAGTAGCTACTCTAGAGTCAGATTGTCTTTCGGACTTGGACAAATTGCTTTTCTTTTAAAAGACTAAATCTTGCTTTGAAGTTTGGGTTCTTCTTTCTAAGGATGAGGTTTTTTATGGTTTATGGTTTGAAAACCTTTTGTAAACTTTTCTGAGCCAGGATTAGCAATATGGGAATAATGATAATCATTAGAGTACTTGCAGTCATCCCAGCAACAACTTCCAGAATAGTCCATGTAGTACAGAGAAGGATTTGCATGTGTAGATTTTATGCCACAAATTCATTTTAACAGATTCGAGTCAACTCCAGACTTTCTCGGATAAACCAACAGACGGGCAACATATAATAAAGCATAATAATAATAATTCTACTGAACACAAAGAGGCATTTGCTCATGATAGCTAAAATGCTTACAAAAGATAATATATTGGCTAAGTCTTAGAAATTCCACAGCAAGCAATTTTAAAACAGCCTATCCAAAACATTAAACTGGAACCAAGCGCTAAAAGGATTGGAGAAATAAATACATGTTTTAGAGAAAGCTTTAGCAGATAACTAATTCAAAAATTATATTGTTTGTAATGTCGAATGATTAGAAAAACCCCCCAAGACTTCAGATTACCCAGTGAGTTTTGAAAATCTTCCTTCTGACAATGGATTGAAGGAAGAGACTATAAATTAGAAACTCCCTTAAACTCCTTGACTAAGATTCCTTTTAAAAGAGCTTATCTATCAACCAGGTTGAAAACATTCAAATACTGTATTCAGATTTAAAATATGGTGATATTAGTACATTGGAGCTTGATATGAAAAATATAGTAGTTATAATTTGCTCTCATTATCAAAAAGTAGATGGATAGTGCTATAATATCTGCATGTTGCAAGATTTAAGAATTGAGGAAGCCTTTTGCTAAAACCAATTTCACTTATGGTGAGGGTCAGAATATTTTAAGACATTATTAAAGTGTGAGTCCCATTGTTCTGACCAAGGTTTATTGAGACACTAACAAACACACGTTAGTCCCCAAACCCTTTTTTATTTCCACAGCTATGAATTTTAGTCATTCACCGCCCGTAATGAGTTTCAAACAGTTTGTAAAGAGTCCCATGGAAGTCTGCCAAAGTCCTTCAAGGTAAGTCTGATAAGTACACACCTTTATCTTCCTTGAAATGCTGCCAATGACTAAATTTCCAATTAGTTATACGAGGCCAAACAGAACAGAAATTTAGCAAAGACCATTAGGTTTCAAACCAACCGGTATGAACAAAGTTGCTTTCTGCAAAGGTTCCTGTCCCTTTGCTCCTCCTTTATGTATTATGGGAGGGCCAATCACCTCCCAGCCTTACTCCCAAGTTGCCCCTTTTGTCTCAGCTGCTCTTACATTCTGGCAGCTCTGTGCACATGCGCACTGGGAACAGGGTCCCCTTGTTCCTCTACCTCACTGCTGTTAGATTCTGGAGGCTCCAGAGTCAGCACACAACTCCCAGATGGTCCTGGCCCCATCTCTGTATCAGACACAGGACTCTCGTCTGAGTCCTCCCCAGACTCCCAGACTGGACATGTTCCTCCCCAATGTCCAACTCTGCTGCCCAAGGACCACAACAATCACTGGCCAATAAGAACTATTAAAATATTAATAGTTACAAAAGAAATGAGGATTAATTTTCTTCTTGCCTCTTCTTACAGGTACTCCTTGACATACAACCATGTCATCTGTTGTAACTTTGAACAGTCACTAAATGAGTTGTTTTAAATCAAGGGCTATCTATACAAGCCATAGAAGTATTTGTCCACAGTGCACAAAAGTTGAAATAAATAAAGTATTGGTGTGTATATTGCTCCACACACACACTATTAAAATCCAAGAGTGAGCAAATGAGCAGAAATCTTACTGAAGAATTTTTTGCCAGTTCTTTCTTCAGAGAAGACCTCATCCTGCTCCAATCTCAAAGTTTGCCCAATCCTCAAAAGCAGGTTAAGAGGTAAGACAAAACAACACGGCAGAAAAATAAATAATAATAATAAAACCAAATGAAAATAAATCTGAGAAAATAATATTTGCTGGTTTCTGGATTTCACCTGCCAAATTGTTTATAAAGCAATATTAATGACATTTCTGATGCTTGGACAGTGAGAACTAACCTGTAAAATTAGCAATGACTTGGTGGATTAAAGTTGATCGAAACAACGGGATAAACGCTACAAAGTCAACGCACAATGAACATTAATTTATCTACGAAGTAAATACAATAAGTGTATGTAACAAATAGATCCCCCCCCCGACAGACACCACAAATTCTCACTGATGGTCGGTGATTCCTTAAATGAACATAATCAAAAGAACAAAGCAGTTGAGAAAGACAAGGCTAATTTTAGCCAGCTTAATAAAACATTAACATTTATTCTTGCCATCTAGCTTTATTTTCAGCTGAGGAAAAAAAGCGAGGCAAAAAAAATAAAGTTGAAACGTGAATTCCCACGAACGCCATTTTGAGTTGCTTACCTGATTACCCAGGGGCTTCGCCACTTTCATGAAGGCTCCCCTCAAAATGGCCTCTTCGCGTTCCTTGCGGGTGACTTTTCGAGAATCCAGAAACTTCAGGCTGGTTAATTTATGCAGGACAAAATGCCTAATAAAACAAATACAGGTTCCAGAGGTTAGAAAATCCATTCAACTTAAAATGCTCTTTTCCAGTTAATGCATTTAAGATGAGCGTATTTTAGGAAGGGTCTCTATTTCAATATTTTTCCTTCCTTCCCTTTTCTTTCTTTCTCTTTTTTTTATTTCCTTCTTTCCTTCCTTCATTTCTTTTTCTTCTTTCCTTTCTTCCTTCTTTCCTCACTCCCTCCATCTCTTTCTTCCCTTCCTTCCTCTCCTTTCTTTCTCCTTCCTTTTTCTTCCTTGCTTCCTTTTCTTTCCTTCCCTTTTCTTTCTTTCTTCCTTTCTCTTCCTTCCTTCCTTCCTTCCTTCCTTCCTTCCTTCCTTCCTTCCTTCCTTCCTTCCTTCCTTCCTTTTTTCTTCCTTCCTTGTTTCCTTCTTCCCACTCTTTCCTTCCTTCCTCCCTCCTCCCTCCCTCCCTTTCTTTCCATTCTGCTTTGATAAGCAGCTGTTCGTGGAATAAGTAATCTTATTCTTTCTTGCCACATTTTTCACAATCTGAATATGATGTATAATATTTGAAACATCCTATAGGTTGAGTCTTTGCAAGCATGCAACCAGTTTCCTGCCTGTACAAAAGTCTTCTCCCGCATGAATACTCCTGATCCATGTACCATTTTATGTTGTGGCTCTGAGGTTTGAGCCTACTTTATTAGAGGACGAAGACTCGGACAATGGGGAAGAGGAGGTTTTGGAAATGCCTTCCTCCCCAGGGCCTTCCTCTTCGGCAATGCCTTCCTCCCTGACTGTGCCTCGGGTGTTGGCAGATAACCGGGAGGGAAGACCTGAGGCTAATCAGGAAAAGGAGGAGGGCGTATCAGAGTCTCTGACTGAGGATCAAGCAGAGGAATGCTGGCTTGATGCGAGGCAGCATCGCAGGCAAAAGTGCGAGCTGCAACGCAGAAAGAAGGGACGAACCAGAGACTGAACTGAGGGACTGATACGCCCCACAGGGAATAAAAGTGGGTGTGTTCACTCTGGGAACTTGTTTGGGACAACATGTGATTTATTCAGAGGAGCTCCGAAGTATCCTGTGTGAAGACAGCTTGTGTGATTTATATTTCTGCTTTCTTGTCGGACTTGGCAGGCAGCGTGTGAGAGACTGCCAAGAACTTTATCGGTTCCAGGAATTTAACTCTATAATTACTGGATTTGCCTGCTTGTTTGTATTCAGTTGGAAATTTGGACTTCTCACCTCTTTTGTACAGGTGAGACATAACAATTTTATGTGCAGAAACTCTTCAACAATGTGGATGATTGCATGGGAACGTGTTGCCATCAGGTAAACTTTGGTGTGTCACATGGATGTAATGGAAGACTAACAGACCTTGGAAACATAGAGGGGGCAGCAAAATAGTTGAGGGAGAACCCAGGGTGATTACAGAAGGCTTTCTTGAGTCCAACGGAAGGGGAAGCATTAAAAAGAGTCTCCCATTTTCAGAGGTCACTGAATAACAGAATAGAATAATAGAAAAACAGGGTTGGAAGAAACCTTGAAGTTCTTCTGGTCCAAGATTCCTCAAGTAGGAGACCTTATATCATGTCAAACAAAGGGTTGTTCCATCTCTTCTTAAAAAACTTCCAGGGTTGGAGTACCCACAACTTCTGGAGGCAAGTTGTTCCACAGATTGTCCTCACTGTTAGGAAATCTCTCCTTAGTTCTAGGTTGCTTCTCTCCTTGATTAGTTTTCATCCACTGCTTCTTATCCTGCCTTCAGGTACTTTGGAGAATAGCTTGACTCCCTCTCTTCTTTGTGTCTGCTATTATTTTCCCCTAGTCCTTCTTTCATTAGACTAGACCAGTGATGGCGAACCTTTTCAGCACTGAGTGCCCAAACCAGAATGTGCAAGCATGTACATGCATGTGCGCGTGCTGGAGCACTGGAAACCCAAAGACCAGCTGGCCGATGCACACATGCCTGCTTTTGGGCTGTTTTGGGGTGTTTTTAGGCCATTTTGGGGTGTTTATGGCTGTTTCAGTTAGTTTTTCAGGCTGTTTGGGGGGGCATTTTCAGGCCATTTTGGAGGTCAAAACATCCTGAAAATGGTCCCCTGAAATGGCCTGAAAATTGTATGAAAAACTGCTTGAAAAACTGCCTGAAAAAGGCCTGAAAACAGCCCCCCAAATGGCTTGTTTTTCTGCTGTTTTTTGGCACTCTGGTGCCCACGAAGACCAGCAGGCCAGCCCACCAGAAACCAGAAGACCAGCTGGTGATGGTGCACATGCCCATAGAGAGGGTTCGGTGTGCCATCTCTGGCAAATGTGCCATAGGTTCACCATCACAGAACTAGACACACACAATTCCTACAACCGTTCATTGCATGTTTTAGCCTCCAGCTAACCAGGTAGTGATATATTATTGTCCCTTGCAATTAAGTTTCAGATGTATTTGCTCTCCCTGTACAGAAAGTGATCATTCATGTTGATCTTCTCTGCACTCTTCTCAGAGTCTCATCTGACACAACTACAAGGACCTCTTGTGACTGAATCCTAGAGTGTAGTGGCTGTTGACCCCGAGCAGAGCCAATGTGGTTGCTTGTATGCATGACTGACATTTTTAATGTCCAGAAAGTCCACAGCTTTACAATCATTTGGTTAGCAACTGTTCAAAGTTACAACGGCGCTGGGAAAAAAAGTGACTTATGGCCTGTCTTCTCACTTAGATCTGTTGCAGTATCCCCACAGTCAGGTGATCAAAATCCAGATGATTGATAACTAGCATATATTTCCTATGGCTGTAGCATCCTGGGATGATGTAATCATCATTCACAACCTTCCCAATTGTCTTCTGAGAAGCGAACTCAATGGGGGAAGCCGAATTTGTGTTGTGATGCATGACTGCAGTGAGTCAAATCACAATTGCAGTGGTCACTTAACAACTATGGCCAAAAGGTTGTAAAATCAGTTGACTTGCTTAAATCCACCTTGCTTAGGAAATTCTGATCCCAGTGGTTTAAGTTGAGAACTATCTGTGTACCTTTTTCTCATTAAGTTAATTGCTCAGTAATAGCAGTAGCACTTAGACTTATATACTGCTTTACAGTGCTAAGTGGTTTACAGTGTCAGCCTATGGTCCTCATTTTACCCACCTTAGAAAGATGGAAGGCTGAGTCAATAGCAATAGCAGAGTTATATACTTCACCGTGCTTTTACAGATCTCTCTAAGCAGTTTACAGAGTCAGCCTATTGCCCCCAACAATCTGGGTCCTCATTTTACCCACCTCAGAAGGATGGAAGGCTGAGACAATAGCAATAGCACTTACTTATATATCGCTCTATGGTGCTTTAACAGCCCTCTCTAAGTGGTTTACAGAGTCAGCCTCTTGCCCCCAACAATCTGGGTCCTCATTTTACCCACCTCGGAAGGATGGAAGTCAACCTTGAGCCTGGTGAGATTCGATCTGCCAAATTGCAATCAGCTGGCAGTCAGCAGAAGTAGCCTGCAGTACTGCACTCTAACCACTGTGCCACCAAGGCTCATCCTGTTAAAATGCTGTAAATGATTGTTATATTAAAGTGGCACTAAAATGAAATGCAACTACATTATTCACAAACTGTAGATTGACTGAAGAAAGGCCATCTCAATTTCCTGAGTCCTATTCTGGATTTTAACCCAAAAGGGGAGATAAAACAGTGCCAAGTATAATATCTCAAAAAGCCTTAGGGCTTTATAACAAGTGTCCCAAAGACTCAATTTCATCAGCTTTGCATGAACAAATAACTTTGGAATTAGGTCTATGGCTATATTTTCTTCCAAGGATGCTGGGGGCACAGCAGTGAACCATTTGTGAGTGTAATCTTGTGTGCAGCCAGAGATAAAAACTTGTGTGGGCTAACTTAGGCCGGGATACTTCATTATTCTTGGTTTGTGTTTAAATGACTGCACTCATTATTTGGGGGG